TGACTTACCATGAGTCATGGATTTTGAAATAGTCCCCAAAGTATTTATGGCAAATCCCTTTACTGAAGATATTTAAAATTAGATTCAAAGAAAAATTTGAGTGAGAGAATGCTGGAGTGAAAACTCCCACACTAACAAATATGAAACAGATGAATTTTAGCTTTTTCTATTTTTAATATACACAACTTATTTTTATGATTCATTAAAAGGTATATTTGGTATTCTAAGCTCTTGGCCAAATAATATAAAATGACATAAAAATTAAATCAACAGTACTTAATGGTTCCAGAGACCTATAGACATATGACAGGACATTCAAGGCCAAAACTATAAACTCCAAATATTGCTTTTATCATTGATAGGAAAAGAGTGATCTTGGGGAACTTCTTCTTTAGAAAGTGATATATTCTCAGGCTCCCCACAATTCACTGGGGGATTCTGAACTGCAAGCACTGCAGCTGATTTTAATTGCCGCGATGATGCATAGGGAGAGATGTGATATCTGGGGTAACTGACTTCTAAACAATGAGGGGCTTTAAAGATTAAAGTCAACACTTTAAATTGCACTCACAACTGAATAGGAAGCTAATGCTGACCATAAAATGCAGGTGTAATATTCTCCATATGTTTTGGACCTGTAGCTGAAAGAGATCAAGCCTTCTGCATCACACACAATAAAAACTGAAGGACAGTGCATTATAACATTCTATTTTGAAGGTTAGAAAGACAACGATCATGATGATAAATAACACAAACATTCAGTGAAAGGTGTTCTTAGATGTAGGATGCCAGTCTAAGAAATCAGTGAACACCTATGAGGCCTTCTTAGCCAAAGGCAAGCAGATTGCTGCAACTAAGTGTATTTTGAGTACCTGAAATCTTGGCCTAGACATGAGTTGGTCCATAGTTCCTGATTTACCTGATAACAGCAGAAATCTGGATGCATCAATAACTGGCTAGACCTTTTCAGGTATGAAAAATAATGCCTCAGACATCACACCTGAAAAAGGGTTCACAGAACATTATAAGATTAAAGTCTAAACTTGAAAAAAATCAATAATCATAGTATCCTAAAGAAACAGCACATCTCTAAACGTAGACAATCCTTGGTGAGCTAAACAATACTCCATGCAAAATCGTACTGGAAAATCGAAATTGAACAAACCAGGAATAATCCTGCCAATGTGAAAGAAAATTCTCCAAATAGTATAGTTTTGTTTTAGCCACTGACATATGGGAAAATTTATGTAGTAAAGTATATGCTTATAAAGTTTCAACTTATATTTAGTGGGGGAAACAATTTATTATACCAAGAAAGCATAAATGTCTGACAGATGGTAATGCTTTTTTTTCCTATTCTTGGCAGGGTCCCTTTTTAGCTGAATGGCTCTCGCTTCTTAAAACTATGAATATTGTCATTCACACCTATTTTCTGAAATTAAACAGACCAGTTCTATGATGAAACCCCCTATAAATTTGGTTACTGTATAATGTCTTCCCATTTTGTATCATAAATTATCAAGAGTACCACTCTCCCTAGAATAATGAGAAATGCCAAAACTAGAGAAAAAGCATTCTGTAATAAAACCCTTACTTTAAATTATCTAAATCAGCCCTGGCCCTTGTAGCTCATTTGGTTGGAGTGTTGTCCCATCCACTGAAGGGTCATGGGTTCAATTCCCGGTCAGAACACATACTGTGGTGGTGGGTTCAGGGAGCATATAGGAGGCAACCAATCAGTGTTTCTCTCTCACATTGATGTTTCTCTCTCTTTCTCTCTCTCCCTTCCTCTTTATCTGAAATCAATGAAAACATATCAGGTGAAGATTAAAAAGACTATCTAAATCAATTTTTGAAAACCTATTTTTTAATTTATTCTTATAGGAACTTACAAAGGAAAGTATAAAAGATTATACTGGAAATACACTCTTCCATCCGGAAATCTTTATTTTTGGCTTTTAAAAATTCTATCCCTTTAAATCACTTGCTAAATTATAATTTATGTGTAAAATATAGATGTCTAGGCAATGGATCTTGTTGGGAAAAATTTTTATGTGTTTGTGACATAAGCAGACTAGTTTATTGTATTACTTTAATATGAAAACTACTTCTTCATGTAAGAAAGTTATTTCTTGATAAAAAAGAGTGTACTGTATAAGCAGGTGGAAGACCAGGTAAAGGGTGCAGTCAGGTGGGTAATACTGGATGCCATCTCCCAAAAGACATAGATTAGATCTGTGTGCTTCTCACACTAGGAGTCAGCATTGAGTCCTGCCTACTTGAAAGTGACAAGGTTGTTTTCTGAGATTTATTGAGCTGATTCTCAAATGAAAATGATCAAAAATGTTAAATCATTTAGGGTAACAGACTGCTAGATCAAATCCCAGTATTTCAGCAGCTTAAGAAAATAAAAGTTTAACATCCAATTAACAGTCCCACGTAAATGCTTTTGGTGAAGAAAGCAGGATGATGCTCAGGGGAAAGGGTTCTCTGTGCTACAACAATCATTCAGAAATTTGAGGCTTTCGGGGTCACCCCAATATCTGTGCAGATGGGGAAGAGCATGAACAATGCTTGGGAGATGTTTTTATAGGCCAAGCTTGGTTATGGCGATGCAGCATTCTGCTCATGTCCCACTGACTAGAACTCAGTCACATGTTTGTATCTAAGGATAAGCAAGGTTGAAAAATGTGGTCCGACTGTCATAGTAGGAGGAAAGAAAATTAAATGTTTATTGAACAGCTACTAAGTTTTTGCCACAATAAATGTCACAAACATTTTTAAAATATATTTTATTGTTTTTTTTACAGAGAGGAAGGGAGAGGGATAGAGAGTTAGAAACATCAATGAGAGAGAAACATTGATCAGCTGCCTCCTGCACACCCCCAACTGGGGATGTGCCCGCAACCAAGATACATGTCCTTGACCGGAATCGAACCTGGGACCCTTCAGTCCGCAGACTGACGCTCTATCCACTGAGCCAAACCGGTAAGGGCCACAAACATTTTATTGCTACCAAAATTGGGTTGGACAACTGTCACGTGTAAAACATAACTACTGGCACTTTTTCTACCACTTAAAATAACACTTAATTTTACTTTTTTCTCCTTATTTTACTTTTTCTTCTTTGTTTCTCTTTCTTATCTGCAACCTATTTTATTAATCATCTGCTAGTGATTTGGCTGAACTGACTATACATAATATGTTTATTTTGAAATATGCATTCACATTCAAGAAGAAAATTAGTAACATAGTATGACATACATAAACATCTGGTTAAATTTTTTATAAAACATAACTGGAAGGCCAACAAATTTTTTACTGCTTTTCTAATAAAAATGCAGAACTTCTTTCCCCAACAGTTTAAACCTATGAGAGTAATTATGATCCAAATTCAGAATGATGTAATTAATGATTGCCTATATTTGTCTGTAAAAGATTAATCTTTATGGTCAAGCCATAATCCAAAGACAATTTTCATCTTATAAAGGAAAGTTTAGTGAAGAACAGAATTTTGGAGAAAATTCCATGATAATGACTCAGTGGCAGTCCAGGTGGTGGCTGTGGAGATGCTTAGGAAAACCTCTTTCTGGCACCCTCTGGCATCCTCATGCATCAGAAATTTTATTCTCCAATTTGTCTCATTGCAATAAAAAATAAAAGGGGGCAGCTGTTATTTTGGAGGACCTGACACAGTGGTAGGTGGTAGTGTTGAGGTTAACTGCACTGGATTTGGGACTCAGATAATAACTGAGTTCTAATCCTGGTGCCATCAGTCATACCTGTGGGGCTTGAAGTCAGGTTGTTGTAAGAATTGAATGATAGGACTGTGTTATATAGGATGTAACCAGTGCTCAAGAAACAAGAGCTGTTGTTATTAGCATTATTATTATCACTAAAGGCCCGGTGCATGAATTCATGCACGGGTGGGGTCCCTTGGCCTGGCTGGTGATTGGGGCCGATCAGGGCCATCTCACCCAGTCCCTATCGGGGTCGATGGGGGCCAGCCAGCCGGGGAGGGACGACGGTAGGGCTCCAGAGCATGTCTGACCCTCTTGCCCAGTCCCCATCGGATGGACCACAGCAGCAAGCTAACCTACTGGTTGAAGCATCTGCCCCCTGGTGGTCAGTGCACGTCATAGCAACTGTTTGAGCCGTCAAATGAATGGTCGACCAATGGGTTGGACACTTAGCATATTACGCTTTTAATATATAGGATTATTATTTTGGGGACTCTGTCTGACCAGGATATTTTAGATATTTGGAAGTGCCTGGAGGGAAAGGGGTAAAGAAAGATTCTGCTGACCAGCACGGGCCAATTTAAAAGAACTGGGTCTGATTAGGCAGAGAAGATTTAGAAAGAGACTGATCTGTTCAGTTATATGAAGGATTTTGTACAGGAGTGATTGCCCTTGTGTAGGAAGGCCCTGAACCCCTGTGTAGGAAAGCCCTGGGGGGTGGAACCAAAACAGGAGATTGAAGGGAAAAATGTGGCCTCATAAAAGGAAGCATTGTGGGCAGGTGGGAGCAGACGAAAACCGGCATGGGTCCCCTCCTGAGGGAGGGGTCAGTTCTCCATTCCAGGTTATCCAGGATGGAAGAAATCTTGGTGGAGAAGACAAGGACAGGGTTCCAGGGGTTTTGAGTTTCTATGCCTCGTACTAGAGAAGGCTCCAAGAAGCAGCAGAGGATCCTAGTGAGTAAGGAAAGCAGCCTGAGCAGCCCTCATCCTCTCTTCCCCTGGCCCAGGTCTCCTGCTGCAAAACTCTAAGATTTCACTAGAGGCGCTGGGAGTCCCACCTCCGAGCTGCCCCAGCCGGAAACTCGGTTGCTATGGCGACGGAAGCGGTTGAACCGGTTTGGGGAACACGGAACCGGTTTGGGGACAGGAGTTGCAGGGGTTAAGAAACTGGCCGTTGTGGCTTCGGTTACTAGGGCAGCAGGGACGCTGGCTCTGGGCCTGATCCTAGTTTAGAGGCCAGTGCTCCACCGCCCTTTGCATGGCACCCAAGAAAGAGAAAGGTGGGCAGGCCAGCACCAATTCTAAGGCTTGGGAACCATCGCTCATCGCTGCGCACTTCAATCAGGTGAGCGGAGTCCCTGAGTCCTCCTGGCCCATCTGACCCTCCAGGCCACACAGCCGGCTCGCCCTCCCTTCCAGACGCCAGGGCCGCCCCTGGGAAAACCTGACCTAGTACCTCTCCCCAGGCCTGGTCCTTCCTGATCGCAAAACCCAGGGTCCGATCCGCAGGGAGTGTTTGACAGAGTGGGTGTTAAGGAAAAAAGAGGGGAGTCAGTGTGAGTTCAAACAGGGCCTGGTGGGGAAGAAGTGTCGCTGACACTCCGGGATCCTTCACCCTGATGGCTCTCCACGGTGTCCTGGAGTTGTCTTTATGAACTGTCACTTCCTCCTGACATCTCCTGGAGAACATCATCCTGTCAAGTCACTGTAGCCTGGCCTACTGTAAGGTTTTAATAAATGCTGGGTGAAAACTCACTCGTGCCGTGCCTAAGATAACATAACTTACTCAGTACAAGTCAGCCTTCTACTCATAGGAAGCAATGCCTTTCTTATGTGATGCCCAGGTACCAGGATATCAGAGATTGGATGTAGTTTGAAGGTACTGCAGGAGCTCAGAGTGATGAGAGATTGGTTGCTAGACTCATATGATGCTGCAGAGGCACCAGGCAATCTCTAACCCACCTGCCACATGAGTTCAAATTGCACTGCATCCCAGAACTAGCTCCCACCCTCCTCCAGTGAGTTGGACAGCCCAATAGTTCTTGTCACCTGCCACTGGAAATACACTTCACCACTAACTTTATTCCAAGTCCAAGATAACATTTGGAAGGAGGAAGATTGATTTGGGAAATGCTAGCCTGCCATTCTAACATATTTTTTCCAATTGGAAAAAAATGTTTCTTTTATTTTTTCATGTGTGTGTACAGTTCAGTAGAGAGGTAGCACTTGAAGGAAAAATATACCTAAAGACTTAATGATGCCTCTTATGAGAAATTTCTACCTATCTGTCCTTATTTTCCACTATAATTGTGTGTTTTTTCTCTATAAACAGTAATTCTACCTGATGAAGACTTTCATGAAAGTAAAGATACTGCTGATGCTGACATGGCATCATGTAATTTTTGGTGATTTCTGTAACTTTAGGAATAAAGGGTGTCAACTCAGTAATTCCCCTTTATAGTCTCAAGTTCTCAAAGATATTTTCCAAAATACCCTGTAAAAGCACCCTCTCTTTTGCTTTTCTAAGTCAACACTAGCCAACATAATTTTCCCCATTTTTCTTTGCAATTGTATAGGCCAAGTTTGGGCTGGAGGGAACATTTCTGCTTGAGTTATAAACTGCCGAACAACGGAGTGTGATGGAGGTGCTGACACTGCATTAGCTTCAGTGTTGCAAATAAGAAGCTATAATTTTCCTAGTTGAATGGAAAACCTAAAGGCACTATTTTTCCTTATGGCTTGAAAACCTGAAATAATATTCTGCCTTCTTGCTCCTGCTCAAACAATATAATTTCAATAAATCTTATATATTAATAGAAAGAATTTGAACTCAAAGTAATATGCAGTTTCAACTACAAAGAGTGAACTCCTTCAATTTGTTGGAATACATGTTTTTTTTATTGCAGGAGGATGACAACAGCGCTCCACCTCAGCTCATATTTTTTTCTCATCTTGGTTTCATGTCTGAGCCAAGAGGAAAATTCCCAGATTAACCCAGCAGGCCAATGCCCAGAGGCATGCCCTAACCACCAATGTAATAGACTCTGAATTTGGTTTAAAGATGACTGTGGATGTGTGAATTCCTTACCCACTGGGGCTTAGCAAGTGCTTCACACATAGTTAGTGCTCAAAAAATGTTATTGCTTCAGTTCTCAGAGATTTTCTCTTCATATAGTTGCTACTCCAGTATGTGGTGTGTGTGTTTGTGTGTGTTGGGAGGTGGAAGAAGGAGGTCCTATCTCCAAGTCTTCCATAAGCCAGATTTTAGAATTTACTGATTGAATAATTCAAATCAATAGTAATTTTGATCTCATGTTCATATTGAGTTACACTAGACTTTAAAGAAGTATCACAAATTTTTCTATCTTATCAAATGTGGTTTCTTCTTGACTAGGCATTTGCTTGATTGCTTTAGGTAGTTGACTGCTTTCAAAGTTCCTATAAAGTTTTAGGATGTTTCTCTTTCTTTCCCTTCCACTCTCTCTAAAATAAATAAAAACATATTCTCAGGTGAGGATTAAAAATAAATAAAAATAGCTGAACTATATGTTTCAATTGGAATTTTGTGTTATGGTCCGAACTTAAGTGTCATCATAGGGAAAAGGAACCTCACAATGTTAAGTGGTAGCATGATACCAACATAGAGAGTATGAGAGTATTCAGAAGCCAACTACAAATCCTTTTTTAAAAATTTATTATTGACTTTTGTCCCCCAATGTCTTCTTCAGAATTCCAGGGTTTCCCAAAAGTTTGTTTGGGTTGATTTAGATATAACACAGATTGAGTTTGGTTTGGAATTTTGCTAATTTTAATTGTTAAATACTTGCATATTTTCAGATTAGCGGAGGATGGTTATTTCTTTTCATGTTTCTGAGTTTGAAGTCTTATTTTCATGTATACCAAAAAGGCAGCCATAACTTGCGAGACCCACCATTGGCATAGCAATTATACTTCTTTACTGTGACCCATCACAGGAAACATTAAAAAGTAACAGGGGGAGGGGCGGGGGGAAAGCGTGTGACAATCCACACCCCTTCACTTACCAGTCTCACTGTTCCAATGCACTAATTTCATTTTACAATGATAATGCCAGGCCCCTAATCCCCAATTTAAGGAACTAGACACTCTACTTCTTGATTTAAGCCTTCAATTCTTCTTTAACATAAATCTCTACATGTTTTTAAATATTTGAAAAATCTATTACAATATATTGATGTGTCCTTACTGAGATTCATGAGGTCTTTCCCCAATTTCTTTATTTTTATTATCAATGTGTTTCCTCTTTTCATAAAGGTAGTAATATTTACATCTAAGACACAAGCTGATACTATACATAGTAGGGCTTTTCTTCACAATACTCAGTAGTGGAGATTCCCAGGGCATCTAGCTAACCTGTTCCTTTTATAAAACTGAAGATCCAAGTATTTCAAGGTCTAGTGCAAAGATGTAGTGATTTAGCACATGAGGGACCAGATAGATTTTCTCACTAGTCCTTCCTTCCTCCTTAACAGAAGATTAAGTTATGATATGCAATTATAGCATTTTATATAAGCCTTGCAATCAAAGAAAATTTTACATATTTGATCTTATGTAAATCCCCAAAATAGTGTTATGAGGTAGGTATTATTAGAATAGAACAAGTTATTTAGGAAATGTATAATGAAAAGTTACTTGATTAGTACTTAAATTTGAGATCAAAGTGTTGCTTAAAACCAGTAAATAAATATGGAAAGTGTACTGATTTTACCTGAAACTAGACTTTATCCATCTGTTTGTCATCCTCTGTCTCTCACAAACAACATTTAGAAGAGAGACAGGCTATAGCATTTTCTTTTTATTTCAACTTTTTGGCTTCTTTCTGAGATCATTTAAGCAGGACAAATAAAAATGTGAGTGTCTTGATTAGGAAAAAATTATTTTCCTATCTCTAAAAATAGTTCAGAAATGTGACTTCTTCTGCTACCTGGAGGTATGCTGCATTTTCTGGTCATGCCTGCCAAAACCTGGCTCATAAAAATCTTAGACCACCTCTGTCTTTCAAGTCTCCAGATGTGGCACTATAATTCTCACAGTCACTAAAGCTTATCTATGAGTCAGAGGTCATCTATGAATCATTCAGTCTGCCTCTAAGTCCTCTTGATTTTTCCTTTATCGTTTCTCACTGCAATCTGTTCTCTGTTCCCATGCCCCATTCCACCCCACGCCTTCATTTTTTGATTCCTGATGTTTTACATGAATCCTGTAGCTATACTCACTATAGAAACATCTGTTCCTGTGTATGAAACCAATGAGCAACTTATTTTTCCTAAACACTTCTCACACCATGCTCACTCCCAGCTCACAGACTATCAATGACCACTGCAGTCTCAAGCTAATCATCCTGGCTTCTTCAATCTTCTTTAATCTGGCCTCATCTAAGCATCAAATTGAATTGCTCCAGGCAAACAGCCTCCTCACTGTAGCACAGACATGTGAAGGAGGCAATGAGCTGCTAAAGACAGTCCTGGCAGACCTAGATACTGAATTCTGATTCTGAAATGAATAATAGGTGACCTAGAGCAACTTTCTCACCTTTTTTGAGCCTTATTTTCCTTCTGTCAATGGAGATAATAATATCCACCTCAAAGGCTTGCTATGAAGATGAAAAGCTCATCCCAGCAGATACATAAGATGACTGTGACAGTGCCCTGAAAAGAACTGTGCAGATTCATTTCACTTCTCCCAGACACTTCACCTGCCAACTACGAGGCATTCAAGTGAAGGTTCTTTAAAATACTTAGTTGGTGGCCAGCATGGCTCAGTGGTTGAACAACATCGACCTATGATCCGGGAGGTCACGGTTTGATTCTTGGTTAAGGCACATGCCCCAGTTGAGGGCTTGATCCCTGGTGGGGGGCATGCAGGAGGCAGCTAATCAATGGTTCTCATCATTGATGTTTCTATCTCTCTCTCCCTCTTCCTTCCTCTCTGAAATCAATTTTAAAAAATACTTAGTTAATAGTTCCTCCTTCTTATACTGCAGTTGAGGAATAATATTTTTTGGTATTAAATGTAGCTTAGTGACAATAGCTAAGTTGTGCACATTTGAAATAGAATTTCCTTGGAGTTCTTGAACAAAGCTTATAATTCCTATAAAGGTTTAGAATTGGATAAGGGTTCAAGATAGGTGTAGCTGAAATATTAATATCCAAAATATTTTATATATATAAAGCTTTTATAGAATATATAGATATAAGGATGATAATAAACTGAATCTAAGCAGGTTTTTATGAAAAAAATGTTTAATTGAATTGAAGTGCTTGAGCCATTATAAATGTAGTTTATCAAAAAGGGAAATACATTTTA